CCCAGTTGTTGACAATCAGTGGCTCACAGGTTACCTCTTACCCTTGGCTAGTAGAAGTTACAATGCCTAGAAATGTATGTATTCTTACCTGTCCGGGCAGCTCACAAAAGAGAGATGTCCAACCTGGTAGAGAGGTACAAAAAACTGACCACTTGCCTTATGGGAGGCTAACTCTGGAGTATGTCAATTATACTCCAAAGTCATTTGTCTATTAAGTAGGCCAAGGTTAGACTTTGCATGAAGCTACATCCTTGTTTGGCATGGATTTGACTTTCCCATTCTGCTTCGCTTATTTCCTTATTAGTTTTTGTTTTTAAAGCTCCCTTTTGGAGGCAGAAAGATAATACAGTGGTTATGTGTTTACCTTGCATGTTGCTGACCCTGGTTCTGTCTGCAGAATCCCATATAGTTCCCTGAGCACTGCCAGGAGTGATTCCTGAGTGCAGAGACAGGAGTAACCCCTGAACACCCAGGTGTGCTCCCAAAACAAAACTAAACAATAAAATCTCTCCTCTGTCAATCATGTATACACAAATTTGTATCTTAGGTTTTAATTCTAGAGAACTCAACCTAAGGAATTTCTGGTACAAATCTACTCATCTGTGCTGAGAATCAACTCCAAGAAGCCACATTCTGCTTGTTCTTGCTGATTTAAAAAGTCCTTTAAGTGCTAACTTTCTGCTTACAAGTTGTTTCCTGGGTTTATCCTTTACCTGTATGCACAGATTGTCTGAAACCATATTCTTCCTATCAACGTAATTTAGATCAATCCTTTTCAAGCCTTTCTGATTGGCTTCTACCCACTTTCAAGTGGTCTAGCCCATCTTGTGAAAGTGAATCAAGGGCTCAATGTGTCAAGACCTTGTTACTCCATGAATGATTAATGAATACTTTTGTTGGGGGTATGAAGGGAGAGGGGGAGTTTCATCAGTGCTTGGGGATTGCTCAAGGCTAAATGCTCAGGGTTTGCTCCTTGTGGTGCCCGGGGAACATGTGATGTCAGGGATTAGACTTGGGTAGACCATGTATGCAAGGCAAGCCCCTTGACCCTTGTACTACTTCTCCTGCCTGATTAGTCATTGTTTTTGACAGATTAATTGCAAAAGGGATCTGAAATAAGTACTCAAATAATACATAGCACTGTAGCACTGTCCTCTCGTTGTTCATCGATTTGCTCGAGCGGGCACCCGTAAAGTCTCCATTGTGAGACTTGTTACTGTTTTTGGCATATCGAATACACAACAGGGAGTTTTCCAGGCTCTGCTGTGCAGGCAGAATACTTTCGGTAGCCGGGCTCTCTGAGAGGGAATGAAGGAATCAAACCTGGGTCAGCCGTATGCAAGGCAAATGCCCTACCCGATGTGCTATCACTCCGAAAATTGTTAAAGTTATGACAACAAATAACTTTATTAACCAAATATCAAAATTAATTTAAAAGCTTAATTTTGCTTACTTTTCCTGGGTCACCCAGTTGATAACTAAATCTAAGCGTTGTTCTGATAATCCACACTTGATTCCTTCCAGTGTTAGCTCTGCATCAACAGGGCGTTTAAAAGCATGACTTGTGCTAAAGATAGCCTCAAAGAATAGCAGTAATGGAAAAGGCTTTCCTTTAATTCTTCCAGCATCTACGGAAACAGAAAAGTCTTTTGAGTCAAACACTTTAGAACACCTTTTTCTTGCTTCATATTACTATCTTCATCGTTTTTTATTTTTTGAAATTTTTTATCTAAATTTGCATATTTAGGGCTACGAAGTAATGTGACTTAGAGGAAACTGCACACCTTCAGTTTGACTCCTAGCACTGTAAATAGGTAAAGGTAAAGGCCCTCCCGTTGATCATCGATTTGCTCGAGTGGGTCCAGTAATGTCTCCATTGGAGACTTTGTTGTTACTTGTTTGGCATATCGAATACGTCACAGGGAGCTTGCCAGGCTCTGCCGTGCAGGTGAGATACTCTTGGTAGCTTGCTGGGCTCTCCGAGAGGGGCGGAGGAATTGAACACAGGTCGGCCATGTTGGCTGCGTGCAAGGAAATGCCCTACTGCTGTGCTATCGCTCCAGCACTGTAAATAATAATACTAATTTGAGGGGCCGAGGCAATACTTTTGAGGAAAGTATTCACCCACCCTGAAGGCTATTTATGATCAATTCCCTGAACACTGCAAGGGGTCATTCTTGAGCACAGAGCCTGGAATAGGCCCTGAGTACCACCAGATGAGGCTCAAAAACCAAGCATAAAAAATAATAATTTAAAAACAACAAAAGGTGTTGGACCAACTGAATAGCCACATACACAAGAATGAAAAGTGGATCACTATCTCATACTATACAGATAAGTTAATTCAAAATGGATTAAAGAGTCAGACATAAGTCAATAAAATGCATGAAAAAAAAAAGCAACATCAAAATACTCCATGTTATCAGCTTCAGTGTTTTTTTGGTGATTTGATTTCAGTGGGAAGGAAAACCAAAAATATAAATAAATAAACAAACAAATAAATAAACCCCGAGCAGAGCCCCAGCAGCTAAAGACCTCCGGTTCCAGCCACAGCCATGCTTAAGACCACTCTCCACACATTAGGACGAGCCTCACACATGAAGGAACTGGCAGAGGAACCCAGGTGTGCACAATCCAGGGCACAGATCTCCAAGCCTGCTAGGATTGGGACTGGGGCCTCCTCCATCCAGATCCCCCACTTTCCAGTATGTAGTCGTTACACTCACCAACTGCCCCCAGCACTGTGTAATCCCATCAACGGCCAAGACCCAGAGACTATAAAACCCAGCCCTCAGAAGCACGTGGCCGCATTTGCGGCCACAGGACATCTTATTATCTACTTCTTTTTCTGGAGAACCTGACTGGCTTCCAAAAGTATCCTGCCCACACGGCAGAGTCTGGCAAACTCCCCGTGGCATATTCAATATGCCAAAAACCAGTAACAATAATGGGTCTCATTCTCCTGACCCGGAAAGAGCCTTGAATGTGGCACTTTTTAAAATCTCAGGTCTAGGACAAAGGAGGCATTACTGGGGCCTGCCCGAGGCAATTGATGAACAACAGGATGACAGTGATACAGTGAAATAAACAAATGGATGAACCAGAGCAACATAGCTTAATAGGCTTCATGCTAGTCCCCCAAACCCCAGACAAAAGAAAAAACAAAAATTCCTGTGAGTACATGGGACTAAAAAGCTTCTGCACTGTCACAAAAACTATTGCTAAAATAAAAAGTATTCCTATTGAATGGGAGAGAAGTACCCATATACCACATATCTGATAAAGGGTTAATATCCAAGGTAATTGAAGCATTTGCAAGACACAGTAACATAAAACAAACAATCCTATGAAAATGGGAAAAGAGCTGGATGGAAACTTTCCACAAAGTGTCCATTCTATGCACATGGGCAGAGAGATAACTCAACAGGCTGAGCAAGTGCTTTCCAAGTAGGATATATGCTTTATTCTCTGATACCACACATCCTCCAAGCACCACAGAGCAATACCCAAGCTGAACAAAATTAGCACTGCCTGGGGTGGTCCCCAGAAAAACAAACAAACAAACAAACAAACAAACAAACAAACAAACAAGATATACAGATGGCTAAAAGGCACATGAAAAAATGCCCATCTTCACTGCTTAAGGGGGAAATGCAAATCAACATGAGATACCACCTCACACCAGTGAGAATGGCTAATGTCAAAAGAGGCCAGAAACTAGCTCTGGAAGGGACCTGGAAAAGGTCCCTTCATTCACTGTTGGTGGGGCTGTAAATTTATCCACTCTAAAAAAGGAAAAAAATATAATTATGGGACTAGAGCAATAGTACATAGGTAGGGTGCTTGCTTTACATGTACCCAAACTGGGTTGGATTCCCAGAATCTCATATGGTTCCCCAAGCCTATCAGGAGTGATCCCTGGGTGCAGAGCCAGGACTAAACTCAGGGATAAACACCCCAAACATACAACACCAAAAAAAAATAGAATTATCATTATGACCCAGCAATTCCATTCTTAAGTATCTATCCGAAGAACACAGAACACTCTTGCAGTCAAACTGAAGGTGACATAGGGAATGTGGGAGGGTCATGGGTACTTCAGTGGTGGGAATGTGCAGTTACTTTGTACATCAGCACCAGAAACTTGAACACTATTATAACTTGACTTCCTAAACTATTATATTAAAAGTTTTAAGTGGCCAGAGATATGGTACAACAGAGAAGGCACTTTCCTTGCATGCAACAGATCCTGATTTGATCCCTGGCACCTCATATAGGTCCCCTGAGTCCCACTGAAATGATTCCTGAGACAGTCATGAGTAAGCCTGAGCACCACCAAATGTGGCCCAAACTCCTCAACCTCCTACTCAATTAAAAAAAAACTTTTACAATATAATCTATAATAGCTAAGATCTGGAAACAACCCCATGTCAATAATAGATGAGTGAATAAATATAATGCATATACAAACAAAACACACATCTATCTGAATACACACACACACACACACTCACAGTAAAATCCTACTAAGCCATAAGAAAAGATGAAAGCTTGAGAATGAATGGAACTAGAGGGAATTATGTGAAAGAAGTCAAGAGAGAGACAAACAACAGATAATTTCACTCACATGTGATATAGAGTAAGGGGACAGACAATATCCAATGAAACTCATAGACTCTAACCAGAGAACTGAGAACTGAGATTACAAAAGGGATCAAGAGGAAAACATGAGCCAAGATGGTTCAGTGGATGTGGCAGAGATATTTGCACTTTGCTAATGGGCACAGTATGGTACCCCTGTACCCCTTAAACACAAACATTTATAATTTTTGTTTTGGCCACATGTGGCAGTGCTCAGGGTTTAGTCTTGGCAGGCTCCGGGGTCTCTCTCCTCTCTGCTTCACATGAGTCACTTGAAGCCCACTGGCAACATAAGGAACACTTAGTAAATCCTACCAGTCTAGCATTGTTGAACTTCTCAGCATGAGATCCCCACAGCTAACCAAAGTGCTGAGCCTAGTTCCAGGCTGCCTCTCTATTCTGGTAACTAAACTTTGGCAAAATAAGACAGACACAGGATAGGGGAGATGACTGGGTACAAAGTATAGACATTCATTTCCTTCTCAGCCTATAAATAGATACATAAATAAAGATCCACAAAACTGATTAGTTAGGTCTGGGGAGATGGCTCAGAGAGCGAGAGTGCCTGTTTTGTTTGCTGAGGCGGGAGGTTTGATCCTCGGCACTGCATGGTCCTGTGAGCTCTGTTTCTGACCCCCACCCCCAACCACATCAGTATGTGTGAAACAGAACAGATCTACAAATTTTATGGACAACCAGTTTGCAACAAAGACACAAAGACAATTCAGTGGATCGGATCATTTTAATAAAAGGCTCAATTAATAGATATTAATAGATAACTAGAGCTAAAAAAAAAATGCTAACCTGTACTTCTCACCAAAAATAAAAATCTAACTCAGTGCCAGAGAGGTAGTACAGTGGATAAGGCGCTTGCACTGCAGTGGCTGACCTGATTTGATGCCTGATACCACATATAGTCCCCTGAGTAATCCTTGAATAAGCCCTGAGCTCAGCCTCATAAAATACTTAATTCAAACTGGATTAGAGACCTAAATATATAAACTATAAAATCCTTGAGGCGGGGGGAGAAAAATCTCTGTGGATTAGGCACAGGTTTCTTATTATGGCACTAAAATCATGATTTCTGAAGTTAAAAAAACTCATATAATTATAATAGACTTTAATAAAATAAAAACCTTCCACTCCTAGAAAGTTACTGCTACTTCTATGTGTGAGGTCCTGGGTTCAATAAACAATAGCATCCCTTACCCCAAAATAACACAAGATAGAAAGATACTGTTTAAAAAAAATGAGAGAAGCCATAAGTTGGAGGGGAAATACTTGAAATCATATAGGTAATAAAGAATTTGTGAGAAAAAATTATATTCACATAATGAAATACTGCTCAGCAATAAGAATGAACTCTTTATAGACACAATAGGGATGAATTTCAAAATATTTATGGGGCTGGAGCGATAGCACAGCGGGTAGGGCGTTGGCCTTGCAAACAGCCAACCTGGGTTCGATTCCCAGCATTCCATATGGTCCCCTGAGCACCACCAGGGGTGATCCTGAGTGCAGAGCCAGAAGTAATCCCTGTGCATCGCCAGGTATGACCCCTCCAAAAAAAAAATAAATAAAAACATTCATCTTTAAAAAAATAAATTAAAAAAAATATTTACAGAGTTCAACAGTGATGGAGGGGAAATCCCTGGAGGAGACAGGGGTGCAGAAAGGAAATAACTGATATGCATGACATCTTGTCAGTCATAGGACTGAAAACCACAGTGCCTAAAGAGGGGAAAAAAGTGCCTGCCAAGGAGGCAAGCTAGAAGGTGGGAGGGAAACTGGGACACTGGCGGAGGGAAACTTCACACTGGTGAAGTAGATTGGTGTTGAAATACCATATTCCTGAAACTCAATCATGAAAAATTTCGTGATTCATGGTGACTCAAAAAAAAAAAAATTAAAACCAAAACCCTACAATTTGATTCTATATGTATAAAATTTTAGAATATGCAAACTAATCAGTGAAGATCTAAAAACAGATTAGATTCAGCCGAAGGGAGGGACAACATGGAGGGCGGGATCCACAGATCCCGAAGGAAAAGAGAAGGGAAAACAGGTTCCAGGAAGAGCCGAGATCATCGGGAAGTCCCAGATGGGGTGGGTACCGCATCCCGCCTCCCCCAGATGGAACCCCGGTGACCAGAAGCCTCTACAGGCACAGCTCGAGTATGCGGGAACTGGGACTTTTCCTCAAGTCTGCCGGGACTACAACTCCCAGGTAACCTCAGATTCCGGAAGTCACGCCCACAGCCCGCCCCCCAGCGCCATCTTTACAGCATTCAGCCGAAGAGAAGGACAACATGGAGGGTGGGATCCACAGATCCCATAGGAAAAAGAAAAAGGAAAGGGCAGGTTCCAGAAAGAGCTGAGATCATCGGGAAGTCCCAGATGGGGTGGGTACCGCATCCCGCCTCCCCCCAGATGGAGCCCCGGTGACCAGAGGCCTCTACAGGCACAGCTCGAGTATGTGGGAACCACGACTTTTCCTCAAAACCGCGCGGCCGCATAAGGCCGCGCAACGTCTCTCTATATACAAAGTGATCCATGGGAAGTAAACCACCCAACGTTTCTCTCTGAAAATCATAGTTAAGTTTGGAGCATGGCCACAGGTCCAGACACACAAGGACTTAAGGCATAACCCAGCAGCTTGGAGCAGAGAAGTGAACGGGCTATGCGTTGATCCAGGCCATCATGTCTGTCCGGAGGGGAAAGGGTGTTGTCCCATTCGCCCTCTCTTCTCTGGAAAGAAGGATGGCGGCCTCATGGGGGCCTTGTGGACAGCGGGTATGGGCCGGGGGTGTGGGGGCGACTGGAGCCTCATGGGAAGGGGGGGCGTTCTGGTCCGTCCTTCACGCCCTACTGAGGCCACCAGTTGCCCCCCACGAGCGGCTCTCCAGCACGGCCACGGCCCCAGAAACACAAGGATTTGGTGCAGAACCCAGCAGCTTGGAGCAGAAAAGTGAACGGACTATGCGTTAATCCAGGCCATCAAGTCTGCTGGAGGGAAAAGGGTGTTGCCCCATTCGCCCTCTCCTCTCTGGAAAGAAAGATGGCAGCCACATGGGAGCCTTGTGGACAGCAAGCATGAGCCGGGGGAGTGGGGGCGACTAAAACCTCATGGGAAGGGGAGCGTTCCGGTCCGTCCTTCACACCCTACCGAGGTCACCAGTTGCCCCCCACGAGCGGCTCTCCAGCACGGCCACAGCCCCAGAACCACACGGACTTAATGGAGAACCCAGCAGCTTGGAGCAGAAAAGTGAAAGGACTATGTGTTAATCCAGGCCATCAAGTCTGCCAGAGGGGAAAGGGTGTTGCCCCATTTGCCCTTCTTCTCTGGAAAGAAGGATGGCGGCCGCATGGGAGCCTTGTGGACACCAGGTATGAGCCGGGGGAGTGGGGGCGACTAAAACCTCATGGGAAGGGGGGCGTTCTGGTCCGTCCTTCACGCCCTACCGAAGTCACCAGTTGCCCCCTGCGAGCGGCTCTCCAGCACGGCCACGGCCCCAGAAACACAAGGATTTGGTGCAGAACCCAGCAGCTTGGAGCAGAAAAGTGAACGAACTATGCGTTAATCCAGGCCATCAAGTCTGCTGGAGGGAAAAGGGTGTTGCCCCATTCGCCCTCTCCTCTCTGGAAAGAAAGATGGCAGCCACATGGGAGCCTTGTGGACAGCAAGCATGAGCCGGGGGAGTGGGGGCGACTAAAACCTCATGGGAAGGGGGGCGTTCCGGTCCGTCCTTCACACCCTACCGAGGTCACCAGTTGCCCCCCACGAGCAGCTCTCCAGCACGGCCACGGCCCCAGAACCACAAGGACTTAATGGAGAACCCAGCAGCTTGGAGCAGAAAAGTGAAAGGACTATGCGTTAATCCAGGCCATCAAGTCTGCCAGAGGGGAAAGGGTGTTGCCCCATTTGCCCTCTCTTCTCTGGAAAGAAGGATGGTGGCCGCATGGGAGCCTTGTGGACAGCAGGTATGAGCTGGGGGAGTGGGGGCGACTAAAACCTCATGGGAAGGGGGGCGTTCCGGTCCGTCCTTCACGCCCTACCGAGGTCACCAGTTGCCCCCCGCGAGCGGCTCTCCAGCACGGCCACGGCCCCAGAAGCACAAGGACTTAATGCAGAACCCGGCAGCTTGGAGCAGAAAAGTGAACGGACTATGCGTTAATCCAGGCCATCAGGTCTGTCCGGAGGGGAAAGGGTGTTGCCCCAGTCGCCCTCTCCTCTCTGGAAAGAAAGATGGCGGCCGCATGGGAGCCTTGTGGACAGCAGGTATGAGCCAGGGGAGTGGGGGCGACTAAAACCTCATGGGAAGGGAGGCGTTTCGGTCCGCCCTTCACGCCCTACCGAGGTCACCAGTTGCCCCCCGCAAGCGGCTCTCCAGCACGGCCACGGCCCCAGAAGCACAAGGACTTAATGCAGATCCCAGTAGCTTGGAGCAGAAAAGTGAAAGGACTATGCGTTAATCCAGGCCATCATGTCTGCCCGGAGGGGAAAGGGTGTTGGTCCCTTCCGCCCTCCTCCCTCTGGAAAGGAAGATGGCGGCCACATGGGAGCCTTGTGGACAGCAGGTATGAGCCGGGGGTGTGGGGGCGACTAAAACCTCATGGGAAGGGGGGAGTTCCGGTCCGTCCTTCACGCCCTACCGAGGTCACCAGTTGCCCCCCGCGAGCGGCTCTCCAGCACGGCCACGGCCCCAGAAACACAAGGATTTGGTGCAGAACCCAGCAGCTTGGAGCAGAAAAGTGAACGGACTATGCGTTAATCCAGGCCATCATGTCTGCCCGGAGGGGAAAGGGTGTTGGTCCCTTCCGCCCTCCTCCCTCTGGAAAGAAAGATGGCGGCCGCATGGGAGCCTTGTGGACAGCAGGTATGAGCCGGGGGTGTGGGGGCAACTAAAACCTCATGGGAAGGGGGGCGTTCCGGTCCGTCCTTCACGCCCTACCGAGGTCACCAGTTGCCCCCCGTGAGCGGCTCTCCAGCACGGCCATGGCCCCAGAAGCACAAGGACTTAATGGAGAACCCAGCAGCTTGGAGCAGAAAAGTGAAAGGACTATGCGTTAATCCAGGCCATCATGTCTGCCCGAAGGGGAAAGGGTGTTGGTCCCTTCCGCCCTCCTCCCTCTGGAAAGAAAGATGGCGGCCGCATGGGAGCCTTGTGGACAGCAGGTATGAGCCGGGGGTGTGGGGGCGACTAAAACCTCATGGGAAGGGGGGCGTTCCAGTCTGTCCTTCACGCCCTACCGAGGTCACCAGTTGCCCCCCGCGAGTGGCTCTCCAGCACGGCCAGGCCCCAGAAGCACAAGGACTTAATGCAGAACCCGGCAGCTTGGAGCAGAAAAGTGAACGGACTATGCGTTAATCCAGGCCATCAGGTCTGTCCGGAGGGGAAAGGGTGTTGCCCCAGTCGCCTTCTCCTCTCTGGAAAGAAAGATGGCGGCCGCATGGGAGCCTTGTGGACAGCAGGTATGAGCCGGGGGAGTGGGGG